CCCGAGTGCTGGGACTAAAGGTGTGCACCACCAATGCATGGCAGTAAAAATAAACATTTTTAAAAATGAGCTGCATACAAAGGGCTGGGGATGTAGCTCGGGTGTGATAGAGAGCTTACACAGAACCCTATGTTTTACCCCCCCAGCTCCTGGGATGCTTGTAATCCTGACATTTGAGAGATAGAGCCTGGAGAGTCAGCATTCAACAGAGATTTAAGGCCACCCTTGGCTATAGAATGAATTTGAAGCCAACTTGGGCTCCATGAGACCCTGTCTCAATGAAGAAGCAAGTGAACAGAAGTTGCAACAGCTCAAACACACTTGGCGAGCATAGTGCTCTGGGGCAGTGGTTCTCAACCTGTGGGTCAAGACCCCCTTGGGGGGGGTCAAATGACCTTTTCACAGGGGTCGCCTAAGAGCATCAGAAAGCACAGATGTTTACATTACACTATGGTTCCTAACAGTAGCAAGATTATAGTTAGGAAGTAGCAGTGAAAATAATATTATGGTTGGGGGTCACCACAACACTAGGGACTGACTGTATTAAAGGGTCACAGCGTTAGGAAGGTTGAGACCACTGCCCCAAGGGATATGAGGCCCAGAGACACACACATAGGTTGCTAATAGGTTGGCACCTGCAGCTGACTGGCGGCGAGTAGTAGGAGGACAGTGAACGGTGATGGTCTCAGGAGATGCTGAGGGAAGGTGCTCTGCCAGCTTAATCAGGAGAGCTGATACAATCTGCCTGCTTCTGAAGCATCCACTGACAGACTCTGGGAGACAGGCATGTAGACTCCTGACTCTTAACTGCACCGCCTGGCTCTTTGACATGGGACAGGTCAGCCACCAAGCCCTTCATACTACCGCCTGCAAAACAGTGCTGGGAGAACCCACTTCACAGGGATGAGGGAAGCCGACACAATAATTCCCTGAATGCGTACGGTTCAAGAGCTATCAATATTAACTTACCATTTCCTACGAAGCAAAAGGCCAGCGGCAAGCAGGGGAGGGGTGGATTTCTGAACCAGTGGCCACAGGAAGTAGACACTTGAATCCGAGAATAACAGTCTTCAGTAACAACTTCCTCTTTAGGGTCTTCACCTCAGATGCGAAGCAAGCACTCTCAGAGGATCACAGGATCCTCTGGCTTTGTTTTAGGAAGGGTTTGCCATGAGACCCCCCCATCCTAAGTTTGCAGCTCCAGTGTCACTCTTAGCCATCCACTGTGAAGCCAGGAGGGTCCAGATTCCCACGACATCAGCACTCCACCCTACAGAGAATGTGGACAGAGCCAAGCAAGGCAGCTTGCGGGGGGGGGGAGGAGAGGTGGACTAGGACAACAGAGGTTTAGAGGTAAACATCTGTCATTTAGTCAAGCCAGGGCTGCAGGCCAGGAGCAGAGAAGTTGCATCTGACATGGGGTGTTCAATTGCTTCCTGGTAAAAAAGCAACCTGAGTGTTTGCACAAGGCAGGGGTATTCCAAAATGCTCAAGGCTGCCTCCTGACATACTTTACCCTTTCCCTGCATGGTTCAGCTTTCAAGATGGCTAGAAAAAGAAGGCTTGGGACGGGAAAGAGTTTTGAGTAAAGGCAGTAGGCACAGCAAGTAGATCTGTCTTCTTCCAAGTCCTAGATGCTTGCTGGAAAACACCAAGTGTCAACTCTTTGCCTACTTCTGTCTGAGGGTGTCACAGCTCAGAGAATTCCCACCTCACCCCCAGCCCAATCACAGAGGAGGGCCCCAAGTCACCCAGCAACCTTTCCATGCTCAAAGTCATTATCATAACTGCCTTACAGGACTGGCTGGTTTTCAGGTCCCCATGGGTAGGGACTGACACAGTGACTCTTCAGGACGGAAACAGTTTTCCAGACCAAATCTAGGGTACTCAGTTAAATCCCATGGCTGCCTAATATAATGCAACATCTTTCTTTGCTTTAGAAGAAGCCTCGTATTTCCTGGGAGAAATGCTAAGTATTATGCACTGCAGGGCTGGGGATGTAGCTCAGTTGGTAGAGCACTTGCCCAGCATGTAAGAAGCCCTGGGTTTGGTTCCCAGCACCACCTGAAACCAAGCATGATGGGTATGACTGTGATCTCAGCATTCATGGGGGGTGAGGAGGAAAAAAATCTCAGGGTTACCCTCATCCTCTGCTAACAAGTTGGAGCCAGCCTGAGTTACAATATATATACAGTACATGTGTGTGTGTGTGTGTGCGTACACACACACACACACACACACACACACACACACACAGAGTATGCTCAGCAGTTACTGTTCTTCTAGAGGATCAGTTTAGGATCCTAGTACACACATGGCAGCTCACAACAGTCAGTTCAGATACCTTCTTCTGACTTGCACAGGCACCAGGCACAAAGGTGGTGTACATACACAAATGCAGGCAAACACACACACACACACACACACAGAAACGAACCTTTAAAAACACACAAAAAGAAATAAACCTTTAAAAACATTTGTTTTATGTGCATGCATTTTACATACATAGGCTACTCAAATTGAACTGAGAACCCTAGATTTTTATTTGCTTGGTCCCACAAGCAAATGTCTGTGAGATATCCCCAACTAGTGGTGTCCGAGAATGGAGTAAGCACTGTGTAGAGATGAACTCGGCTCTTCTGGAAGTGAGCAGCTTCAAACAGGAGGGTTCACAAATAGCTCTGCTCTTTGTACTGTCAGCTCTTGCCTCTGTGAGACTTGACCACATGAGAAAGGTTCATCTGAGAACAAAAACAGTGTTTGTGTGTGTAGAATGCAAAGCTTTCCTTTTCTCCCTTGAATTTGAGTGAGTTTATGACCTGTTGCTTATTAAGTGCTGTTGGGGGACCATCTGTACCAGGAGGCAGGGCCCTCTGAACCCTCCCTGCCTGACTGACTGCCCTCTTGGAGGGGGAACGCTTCAGGGCCCTTAACTGTGTTTCTGTGCCTGGGATATGTCTTCCAAGACCAGTGCCAAGGGCTCAGAGGGCAGAGTCCTAGGAGGCCACTCTGCAGGACTGGGATCAGCCAGTTTGGCTCCAGAACCAACATGGGAACCAGTCAGTGCCCACCAGGATCTCAAACCTGTGTCACAGAGAGCTGTCCCCCTGGGGACACATAGGCCAAGATGATCAGGTGGCCCATGGGATATACAAGGAACTCAGGAAATGAGAAGCCCTTGTCCCTTTGGGGACAGAAAGGGGTTTTGGCGATCAGGCTGGGCACCTTAGCAGTTCCCTCGAACCTCTGCCTCTGACTGGGGCTGATTGAAGTTCCAGAGCAGCCCAGATCACCCCAGAGGCCCTGCACCCATACTCAGCTTTCAAGGCCTCAGGGCACCTGCAGACCGGGATTTTCTGGAAGAGTAGTAGACCAGTGTTCCTCCCGGTCTTCTACGAGGAGTACCGTCTTCTGCCTTTTTGTCCCCTCTCCCCAGGCTTGGCAGAGTAGGGGCCACCTCAGGGGCCAGACTTATATCAAGGCACCCCTTCTGCAGACCTGAGGAGGAGTGTCCGCAGCATCCGGGAGTTTCCAGTTCTGTTCCTGCCTGGCACGGGCCTTTGTGCACCCGCCAGTGAAGGACAGGCCCAATTCTAGCGCTGAGCAGGCGGGTTGCCAGAAGCAAGATCAGCCTCCTCCGCTCACAGGGTGGCAAAGGGCGTTCATTACACAGAGGGGGAGGGGGCTTTAACTCACTCTGAAGGGGGCTCCCGGGGATGGGGTAGTGGGAGGGACAATTCACAAAAGCCGGGGCTACAAACTCCCAAAGGCTTTTTTTTAAAAAAGCGGTTCCCTTCCCTCCTCCCCTCCCCCGCCCCGCGCCCCTCCCCCAGCCCCAGCCGCTGATGGCCTGCAGCCAACACTGGCCACTCTGCGCATCCAGGCTCCCGCCCTCTCGGCCTTCCTCTCCATCTCTTCCCCAGTCTTCACAACTCTGCCCCTCGAGCTACCTCAGCACACCCCCCCCCTGCCCCCCGACACACACACACACACACACACACACACACACACACACACACACACACACACACACACACAGAACCATGCTGTCATCTTCCGCCCTGGTGACATTTTAGGCTTGGTCCTAATTCCGGACCGAGGCTTTGCAAGCCGGGAGAGAACTGGAGCTCACTAGATCCCCAGGCCCGAGGCCCCAGGGCCTGCTTAGCCACCGAACCAGGAGAAAGATCGCTGTGTCTGCAGAAAGCCGCTGCTGCTGGTGGCTTCCTGGCCCGCTGAGCCGCACCCCTAGCCTAGGGGCCATTAACCCTTTTCTTCCCTCCTCCCACCACACCTAGCACCTCGGTCTAGTCACCGCCAAGGGGACGAGCAAGCAGTGGCAGCTCACGCAGCTAAGGACGTGAGGGTGGTACACCAGCCAGCCTGCCACCCCCTCCCGATCCATCCCGCAGAAGGTCGTCAGTCCCCAGCGATCAGCTCACTTGCTCCAGGCCTGGTGGTTTCCGGGGAGAGAGCCTGGCAGAGAAAGGGCCTCCTCTAGTTCCGTGGGGTGGCGGGGCGGACCGGACAGTGTCAGCTGGGATGGTCCTAAGGAGTAGGGTCCACTCCACTAGTACCCTGGCTCATATCAGGGAGGACTGAGGGACTTTCAGTGTCTTTAGGGCCTGGCTTGGCATGGGGGGGGGGTTACCAGTCTGAGAAACGGGATCCAGGAAGGGAGGGGTCCACCAATTGTCCCCCCCCGCACCCCTCCTCCACACCCCAGAAGTTGAAGCCAGAAAGCCCTGGGGACTAGAGTGACTCTTATACATCCCGCCACCCCACCCTTCCAGTCCAGCACCACCTTTCCACTTTCCCAGATCGTGTGGCCAGTAAGGGCGCCTCTCTATAGAGACACCAGACCCCACGCAGTAAAGGCTTAGCTCTGGGGCCACAGGCTTTCTCCACGTGATCTAGGCGGAAGTGGGGTGGGAGTGGGTTCATCCTCCTTTTCTCCAACTTCCGATGCCCCCAACTGAGCTAATCTCAGACAGCGTGACGCACCTTCAACATCTCCATTTAATATTTACATTCAAGCAGGTAATAGTTGGAAGCTTATAGTTCAGACATTTCTATAGCAGCAGGTTCTAGAGAGCTCTTTAGCCTTTTAACAAACTTTTTTTTTTTTGCACATAGAAACAACACACCCATGTGTACAGTATCAAAAAATATATACCAAGGGTTACTGGTGTTGCAGTCCCTGGAGAGGAGGAAATAAAATAAAAAATACTGGATGGAGGAAGGAAAGACCAACTGAAAATAGTTTGTCTGATATAGAATATAACATGATCTAGAGGAAAACTCCATAAATCTAGGTTTTTATATTTCAATATATAAATACCTACAAATAAATATATATATATATATGTATATAGATATAAGCCCGAAGAGGGGAGGGGGGTGGTCGGGCCTTCTGAGCTCAAACAATACATTTCAAGAATAACACCACGTACAAACCGGAGTAGAGCCAGCACTTGACAAGTTAGCACGGTTAAAATATAATACTATAACTCTTGAGACCGCCTCGGGCTGCGGGGTCAGTTCTGGAGGTCCACGGGGAAGGCTCGGGTCTCCTATGGGGTAGGGGAGGTGGCGGCAAGAGGCAAGGCCGCAGGCACCGAGTGGAAGGGAGTGAGCAGCGGGGCCTGGCCATCACTGCGGCTGCTGGGGCCTCTTCGAGACTGCAGGCGCTGAGTCCCAAGTGGGTGCGACTCCTTTCCCACTACACAGTCACGTACTCCTTGAACGTGACCGTGAGGCAGTTCGCGGTGACGTCAGTGATAATTATATTTCCAAAGAAGGGCTTGAATTCGCTCAGGGGCTCCGCGGGTTCGTCCTGGGCCTCAGCCGGAGGCTTCTCCGCTGCGGTGGCCGGCGCCACCACTGCGGCCACCGCCGCCGCCGGAGCCTCCGGCTTCACCTGGAGAGAGCTGGGCGGTTCCCCAGCATCGCTGCGCATCTTGACACAGCGCAAGTCTATAGGCTCATCCAGGTCTGAGTCCAACAGGATGACCTCGGGCTGCGGCAGAGACGCCGCAGTGGGGGACACATTGGCGGGGTGTTCCGAGGCCGGGCTGGCCCCCAGGCAGGTGGGCGTGCTGATGCTGCGGGCGGTCAACCGCTTCTTGCAGGGCTCACGCTCGCCATGGGTCTCGGAGAGGCAGCGCTTGCGCGCGTGGGAGAGGTTCAGGCCCACCGTGTGGTGGTGGTGGTGGTGGTGGTGATGGTGGTGGTGGTGGGCGGGTGGGTGGGAGCTCCTGGCTGGGTCCCAGGCCAGCAGGTCTGGCTTGGTAGTGAGCTGCAGCGGCTGTTCACCAAAGGCCTCCTTGGTCGGGGAGAGCTTCCGGGACCCTAGGTCCTGGGGCTGAGGGTCCGCGGACACCAGGGCCTCCTCCTCCCTGCGTTTGCAGGGCACTTCTGCTTTCTTCTCCTCGGCACCAACGGCTGCCGCCTTTTTAAAAGTCCTGTCGGCCTGGGGATGGCGCTCCTCCGCAGCACGTTTCTTGTGGCTGGGGGAGCGCGTCTCGCCCTCGGCCGCCTCGCCCGACTTGATCTTCACCGCCTGCATGCCATTCTCCATGTACTTGCTCATCACGATCACGATGCGGCCGTTCTTGTTCTTGTTCTTGACGATTTTCATCTTGCCCCCAATGCCATTACCAGCCACTGCCTCCTTGGGGGCCGGTGTCATGCCATTGGGAGGGCCCTTCTCTGAGCCCTTGCCAGGAGCTCCTGCCCCTCCCCCCAGGGGCTTTACTGCCCCGAGGTAGCCTTTGGCAGCAGCTCCGTGGGCCCACTTGTCAGGAGGGTGGCTCTTGGCGCCCAGGTCTGGGCAGGTCGGGCTGGGTGCCTCCTTGTGGCCACCCTGGTACTGCAGGTCGTACATTTTGGGGTCTGGCTGGTATGGGTGGTGCTTTTTGCTGTTTAGCTGATAGTAATACTTGCCGCTCTTCCCTGGTGGTGGCGGCTTACCCGATCTCTCCTTGCTATGCGGCTGGTACTGATGATGCTTCTTGCTGTTAAGCTCATACTGGTGCCCCTGGCCCTTGCCCTGCGTGCCCAACTCCAGCTTGGCACGGCTGTCAGCAGAGGAGTCTTGAAGCCCTGTCAGGACATTGGAGCGGCGGGCAAAGGTGGGTACCTAAGGGGGAGAAAGGAGGGGAAAGGTTGGCCCTATGGCATGCTGGGAACATCAGGACTGCTCCAGCTCCCACGGGTGGAAGTTGCATCATAGGGGGTGGGGCCAGGAGTTCTAGAAGAAATTCAGGACAATTCGGGCGCTCCCTCTGGGAACTAGGTAATTTGGGGGGCAGTGTTGAGGGACCCCAGGGTTGGCTGCGTATTCACCTGCACCACCAGCGGTTTGGGCTTGGGCCCTCTCTTTCGATATCCCATCAGCTGCTCCTGTCGCTCCCTGGGGAGGGAACAGGGTCACAAGGTTAGTATCCTCAGTCTTCCTTGAGGCCTCTAGCACCCTGTTCCCCACCCCGCCTTCCTTTTGCTTCTGAAAGGAAGAACCAGCTGGAGGCAGAAGGTGGCCTATGCTGCCAATTGAGCATCCCCCCCCCCAACTTCCACGTAAGACTCCTACTGCTGAAGGGGTCTCCCCACATGACACTCATATGTAAACTTTCTCCTCCCTCCCTTCCCCCACACGCTGCAACCCTGTCTTCAACCCTGTCTTCGTGTCCAGGAGATTGCTCCTTGGAGCTGACTCGCCAGCATTGGGCCTATGGCACAGCTCTGCAGACTCTGCAGGTTTGGAAGACCGGGGAATAGGAGGTGTGTGCTGACCTCCTGGCTCTTCCGGGTCAGAAGCGTGGATGCTAACTGCCTCATTAAGATTCAGATAGAGAGCCGCCAGTTGAAGGGAGGACTCTTTTCTTAAAAGGCCAGGCATCAAAAGCAAGGGACTTCGCCCTTGTTTACATAGCGGCAAATAAGCCAATTAGGGGTTGGGGATGGAGACTGCCTCAGAGGCTAGGGTTAGCCAGGTTCTCAGCCACCTGGTGAACCAGACGCGGTGGCACAAATCCCACCCCCCTCCCATGAGCCAGTGGGTGGGGTAGGGGTGGCTAGCAGAAGGGCTACCAACTTAGAAGGGCAAGATCCTTTCCTCTTGGATTTCCAACAGGGCACTGATCACCACGTCAGGCTTCTCTTGGCCTGGCCACCCACGGAGTGAACGATTGTCCCAGGTACTGCCCAGCCCTCCGTGATTCAGTCACCCCCTCCAGAGGCTGTCAGATTCTAGATCAGAGACCCCACTCATCATCAACTCGAGTTGCCAGCCCCACCCCCAAAGGCTGAGCCGGCCCCGGAGGAGCTCTGCCTGCCGTGCCCTGGGGCCGAGTTGGGGTCTGATTCCGAAGTTGCACGGCATTGCAACAGCCTGGATTATAATTCTTTGGGGACCTATTATGCAACATGGCATCAGCCGCTGACATGGTTACAGGGTGTTGAAGTCCCAGGTGAAGTCGGGGCAGGTTCCCCGTCCTTAAACCCCCGTGTCCCCGGAAAGCAACTCTAGCTCTCAAGATCTGAAGTTTGCAGTTTAAGTGGCAAAAACACCACAGGAAATACTTCAAAATAAAAGGACGGAAGGCTGCGGGGTGGCGCGGTTCGGAGGACTCTTCCCCTCCTCCATACCCTTCCCCCCCTCTACCCTCTCCGAAACAGAGAACCACAGCCATCACTGGTGGTGAATCCAGCTGCAGCAGCTGCGGCGTGGCATCTGCCTACAGGAGGATGGGTAACCCCCCAACCACCAGGCAGCGCTCATTCATGCCCTCGGGCCAGCCTTCCCCCTGACCTGTTAGAGCAACTTGCCCCACCAAATACTGCAGTGAGGGTTGTACAGCTCAGGCTCCAGGCAGCATCTAGTCCTTGACACCCCCCAGCTCCCTGGGGGGTTGGGGGCATAAGGCCCCGTCAACTTTTATTCGGCTGCCAAGAGGTTAAGTTCAGTTCCATGACGTCTGGGGCGGTTTCACAATGCCAGCTCCTTCAGAGCTGCCCCGGGAGGTGCCCGTGCCAATCGGGCGGGCAGTGGCTTCAGGAAAGCAACACCTAGGCTCTGGGGGGTGGGGCTCCAAGGTTGCTATGGGAGGGGGCCACGGAGATTCAGGCACAGCTCAGAGTTTTCCAGAGCAGACCCAGGGTCATCCATACACACACACACACACACACACACACACACACACACACACACACACACACACACACACACACTCTCTTGCAGCGGTTTCCCCAAAACGCAAGCCTACCTCCCCCAGCCCTACCCTGCCCCCACTCCCAAGCTGCAGCAACCGCCAAGGACATTGGTTAGGAAGCCCAGGCCGCAGCCTTGCCCATCCGGGCTTGTTGGGGGTGGGGCTCCTGCACGCCCCCCTCCCACTCCGTCCCCCTTTCCTATCGCTGCCGGCAGTCATCCACTTTACCCTCCCCACCTACGGCCAGGGCAGCAGGCTGCTAAGGGATGCTCACCTGTTCTGGAAGGCGATCAGTAGACGGGGATCCAAGATGTTCTCCTCTGGTTCCCACGTGTTATATCTTGCAGGTGAAAGAGGGGGAGGGGTACAGTGTAAAAAGGGGGGCACGTTGGGGGGGGTGATGGAAGGCCCCAAATGTGGCTTCCTGAATCAAAAGCTGTGATCCGGAGGGTAGACAGTAGGTTTCTGAAGGCCTATCTCGGTCCTTGCTCCCCCCCCAAAAAATTAAAACACACAAGGGCAGGAAGAAAGGGGGGGCGAGGAAAGTGAACCCAGCAGTTTATTTTGTAGTCGTCAAGAATTTTAAGCATGTTACTGCGCCGTGTTCCAAGGCCACTTTCCTCACCAAAAACCCTTGGTGCAAATCAGCCCCAATGCAAAGTCGCTGTCCCCAGCCCGAATCTCCACTAGGGCTTCAGCCGGTCTGCACTGGACCCCTAATCCGATAAACCACAGCCCAGCGGCCCCCCACACCCCCTCGAAGGCCAGAAGACCGCTGTCACTGGCAAGCAAACCCCAAATACTCAGCAGTACAAAAATATGCCTCTCTCTCTCTCTCTCTCTCTCTCTCTGAGTGTGTGTGTGTGTGTGTGTGTGTGTGTGTGTGTGCCTGCGCCTGTCTCCATCCGGTGCCTTCGCATTTCAAATTAAAGAAAAAAATTCCCCAGCGAAAGAGCTGCAGTGACAGTCCCCAACATTCTCTGCCTTTTTTCCTCCCTATCCTGCACCACCAGGAGGGAGGGCGCACACAATTGCATTTTCGTCGCTTTTTAATTTTTTTTTTTTTTTTTTTTGGTTTTGCAATATGGAGCCGTTCGGTGGAGGGAAAGGGGAAAGGAGCCATTTTCTGCTGCACATCAGTCAGTGCCTGCGCCCTCCCTCCCTCCGCCGGCCTCCCGGGCTCGGCCCCACGTCTCTCCAGCTCCTCCGGCTCCTTTTAGCGCATAAATTAGTGATGGCATTTCCCGGAGAGCGGAGCACAACACAGGGCGCCCGGCTCGGGCTCGGCGGCTCGGCTTCCCAGTGCCTGCCACCGACTTCCCCACCCCCTCCTCCCTCCACCCCACCTCCACCCCGCCTCCCGTCCGCTCCCCCACCACCCCACCGGCTACACGGGTCCGCCGGCCTGGGGGCCCCGTGCCCGGGCACTCGGCCCCCGCTGCCACTTACTTGGGGGACCAGCCTCTCCATTTCACCAGATACTCCACTCTGCCCTGTGGGGGGGAAGAGACAGCACTCCATCAGCTTCCGCGGGATCCCCGGCTCCGGCCCTCAGCCTCCCCACCCCCTCCGCGCCTCTCGCTCGCTGCTCCCGCGCCTCGGCGCCGCCACCCGCGCGCCACCCCTACCTTGCGGATCCGCTTCTTCTCGATGCTCTCCACCGCGAAGACGTGCTCGCCAACAGCTGGCAGCTCCATGGCCGAGCCGGAGCGCGCCGGGACGCGAGCGGCCGGTGCGGCTGCACACACAGCTGGCTCCCGCAGGCGTCCCGATGTGGTCCTGCGCGGGGACCTCGCCACACGCTCTGCCCCCGCCGCCTCCACTCGCCCCTCAACAGCCTGGCTGCCGCCGCTGCCCGCGCCCGCCGACTCTCTGCTCGCGCTCGCTCAGACAACTGAGCCCGGGCCGCCGCTGCACGAGAACTCATGCAAATCCCGGACGTCAGCGGGCGGGGCCTCGCAGGGCCCAGCTCGGCGTCAGGGGGCGGGCCGCGCCTCGGATTGGCGCAGCCCGACCTACCGGAGGCCCCCGGCCTGGGCGGCAGGGGAGGAGGAGGGCGCGGGAGGAGGCTAGGGAGGAGGAGGGCGCGGGGAGGTGCAGGGGAGGGATCTGCGAGCTGGGAAAGTGAGCTGGGGCCGCGGAGGAGAGGTGTGTCTGCCTGGGCGGCCAGGCTGGGCACCTCGACGGGTCCTACCCAGATCTACAGCCAGACACTTGGGCCTCTCATCATCACCACCACCACCCCCGCCCGGGGCCGCTGGTTCTCGGTGTGCACGGCCCGGGGATCCCTGCTGGGGGCCACAGAAGCATTCGGTGCCTTTTACAGTTGCTAGCAACTACACGGTTCCTAGAGGCACAAGGGAAATCTCCGACAGGGGGCAGAATCGGGGCGGGGGCAGATCGCACCCCCAGCCTTGGTGCCCACCGCCCCGCCTCGCCAGGCTCCAGGCATTTAGGAAGGCGAGGTAGGGAGAGAAAAAGCCAGAAGACCGAGGACTTGGATGAGACCAGGAGCACGGAGAGGCGGAGAGGCGAGGACAGGGACAAAGGAGCAGCTGGCCCCCAGGCATTAGCACTCAAGAATCTCATCAGCAAGGGAATCTGAATCGGATCCCACCCATCTGAACGGCTTCTAATTTACACTTGGCCCACTCATTCGCGGGGAAGAGGCCGTTTCTTGTAAGCCTCCAGACTGTGAAAGGCTGGGAGGGCCAAGAGAGAGGGAGAGACAGACAGACAGACACACACACACACACACACAGAGAGAGAGAGACAGACAGACAGACAGACAGACAGACAGACAGACAGACACACAGGGCGAGGACATGGGGGAATGTGTGAGTCTGCCTGGAGGCCTGAAGGGTTCATGGAGTTCAAGAAAAGGCCTCAAAAGAGGGAGTGGGGAGGTCCAAGAAGAGGTTGAGGCTGAAGGGTGGTGGGTTTGTGGGCCTCGAGAAGAGGGGGAGAAAAGGAACGGCCAGGGAGCCGCATACCCTGCATGAATTCGGGTCCCCTAGTCTCTGACAGCCAAGCCCTGCTGGTGAGGCCATTGGAGCTCCAGAGTGTGAAGTTTAGCACCTTGGAGCCCGGCAGCCGGCGTGTTCAGGGGTGTTCAGTTCCAGCGTCCGGCTGGGGGAGCTGCTGTGCCAGATGTGACCTTCTGAGGGCGCCCCCGGTGGGCCCACGAGACCCGTGGGGTCGCAGTGGGTAGACTTGACAGGGAGCATGCCACTCTAAGTGGGAGGTGTAAGGGTGTGCCTGGCCTGCGGTGTGTCCAGGGCCCTAGCTCAGGGCTCCTGAAGGACGTGGAGCAGGAAGTTTGCGCAATCCCTTGGCTGAGCGTCCACAGAGACAGAAAAAGCGCAAAAGAGTCGATTGAGGGAGGGGGAGGGCAAGGAGTTATCCGGGTCTCTGTCCTCCCTGCTTTTATGGCGTCCCAGAACGCCTGGTGAGGACTACGCTGAAGTGACTTGGGGAGGGCCAGATGCAGAAAAGAACCCCAAGCCTGCCAGGGCTTGTGTTCTCCCAGGAATCCAAGAAAGCCTGCAGACCGTTTGGTGTTGTACACACACACACGATGATTCCTCACACCTTCACTTTGCAACACCGTGACTTTGGCTGTTGCTTAGCGTCGGCTGCCTGGGTGTTTACTCTCCAAGGAATGTTGGGGGGGGGTCGTCTTCTGGAGGCAACAGAGAGGGGCTCAGTGTGCAGCGACTGGTCTCTAACTATCCTGAGGCCCAAATCTAAGAGCCCCCAAGAACAGGAGAGCCCCAACTCTTGGGGCTGGAGGGGCACTAGAAAAGGGCCACCCCCTCCTGTGCTTGGATGTCCCCTCCACCTCTAAGGTGGAGGTGCCTAAGGCGTACTTAAGTAGAGAAACTGTTGCAGGACAGCTGAGTCAGAAAGAGAGGGGTCCTCAGGGTCGCGCGGGGTATAGGGGTGTAGATCTGTAGCCCAACAGCACCCACTCATCCTAAGCTACCCAGGTCGTCTGCGCAGCCCATCACCCAGGAAGCCGGCAACAACTTGGTGTAGGCCAGTCCCTCAGTCTGGGAAACTGAGATTCCCGACATTGCCCGTCTCTTTACTCAAAAATCCCCAGGAAAATCTGTTTTCTCTGGGTGTTTCCGCACAGCCCAGAACCCCGGCTCAGGGGAGGGCAGGCAGTCGCTGCAACCTTCCCGCCACCAGGGGCGTCGAGCTGTATGGCAGTCAGCTTGGGTGGCTGGGTCCAGGGGCCCCCAGGGGCCCAGATGTGGTCCTTAGGGGCCACTGAGAGGAACTCGGTGCTCAGACGCCAAGTTTGCGGAGTTTGCGCAGCAAGCACTCTGCAAACTGGGAAGAAGAGTTAGCAGGCTCTGGCACAGAGCATCTTTTCTGGAGTTGCATATGGTTTTGGGAGAGGAGCCTCCAGGCTCCCTAACTGCGGAAGCGGCCTCCTGGAATCACCCCAAGGGCCTAATACCACCTGCCACTCGCCAGCCCTCCAGACGCCTTTCCCTGGACAGCTCTGAAGGTGACTGAAACACAGAAGTACCCGCCAATGCAGCAACTTCTCTCTGTCACTCTGCCCTCGTGGAGGGTGGGCAGATGAAGAAAGAGACTCCATCCCTGTCCTATCTTGAAGGCGGGTCCTAGACTACCCCTTATCTGACAGCTGACGTAGGGGCAGCTCAGATCCACCCGCACGAATAGGAGGCTGAGGGGGAGGCCGATAGAAGTGGGGGGGGAGTCATGAGGTCACCTGATGTGCTCAAATTCTTCTTAGAAAGCCTCCCCTGGGGCGGCCCCTACCTTCTCACCCACTGAGGGCCTCTCTGAGTGAATCACAGAAGACACTGGCTCCCAAACCCGGGATTCCCAGAAACTTCTGCTGGGGCCCCTGTCCTCAACGGGGATGCCCGGGGGTGGGGGCCCACGGGAACCGTTACAAGATTCCTTAATCCAGTGCACTTGACACAACCCCTTCCAATCAGGGTGGGTAGTTCGGTCGGCGCTGCTGGGAAATAGAATTCCTCGGGATACCACCGCGTGCTGGGGCCCCCAGGGGCCTTCAGGGGCCCCAAGAGAGGAGCAATGTTCCGACGTCCAGTTCTAGGTTCGTGCTTAGAAGGGTATGGCAAAGGAACCGACCCTGGAGAGGCAGGGACATTTCTAATGACCGAAGATTGGAGAATGGTTACTGTGAATCCAGTCTTGGAACAGGCGTGACCCGCGCCGGCCGGGGGAAATAAACTTCTTAAAGGAGCCGTCTCGGTGAATGGGTTCTGGGCCCCACAGAGATTGACACCTCCGCCCCCTGACCCCGACTCTGTTAGAAAGAGGGAGCCTCAGGCTTCCCGGACTAGCTGCTCCGGGTGGATTTCAGTGGAAATGACTACCGAACTGCAAGGACTCCTTTCTCTGCCACGTCCTTAGCAGGGAAATCGTCTTTGACTTGAACGCTGACGTTGGTGAAACAGCTTAGCTTGGGGGGAGCTGACCTGGTGAGGCTGCGGGGGGTGGGGGGAGTCTTATACTCCTTCCCCTGAACGCTCCAGAACCAGCGGCTTTGTTTATCAGGGATCCCCTCGACGCTTCTCCCCACCCCCATTTTTGCTCCCCGTCACACGCCCCCCCCCCCGAAGGATTTGTTTTCATTCTCGCTGCGAAGCCACCGACGTCCCTAGGTCCCACTCCAAGAGCCGTGTGATCCTGGAATCATGGGTACGGACAGGCTAGAGCTGGCAGTGTGCACGGGCGGGGCCACCGGCCCAGAGTGCCAGGACAGCGAAGCGGTGGCCCTTTGATGGGACCTGGGCATCCGTGGGGGCCACACAGGCCCTGCAGGGCCGCGCCTCCGCATTGCGGCACGCCGGGGTCGCGGGCGCTGAAGCAGGACGCGTGGGGGACTGCGACGTCCGCTGGCCCACCCTCTCCCCACGTCAGGCGGCAGCCTCAGGCTGGCCTGCAGGAGCCCACCCGCCCCCCGCCCCGCACTCAATCGCGAGGCTCGCCGGCCTGGAGATCCGCGCCCCCGGGACCATATTTCATATATGATCTTTGGAGCCGACACAACCGCCCGCCGCTGCTGCCAGCACGCGCGCACAACGGCCTCGGTGAATCGTGTGCTTTTTATTCGGGTTTCGTTAGCCCACGGCCTGGCCGAGGGCTCCCTCAGGCCTGGAGGTGCGCCCCGACACACCCGCCCCTTGCATTTTGCTCTTGGGTGCCCCCGTCGCGCGCCCCAACCAAGCGGGGCCCACACAGAGGCCAGATTTCTTTCTTCCTTCCCCTCACCCCCCCCCCCCGACCAGAGCTAGCTGCAGCAGCCAGCCCCGGAATGAAATGAAAATCGCTCCGGCGGACCCCGAAGTGATCGTCAGCCGAGGCGCCACCGCCTCCCTGCCCCCACCCGCCTCTCCTGCTCCAACCTCGCGGCGCGCACAGCGTTAAGCGCGTGCCCGAGGGGGTATTTGGAGCCAGGGTGGGAGAAGAGGGGGTGCCGGGCGCGGCGGGCAGAGTAGCGGAGCTCGCTTTCATCTGGTTCCCCCAAAACCCGGGACAGAGGGGCGGGTCGGATCGGAAGGGCCAGGCGCGTCTCCGCCTCCCCGGCTGGCCTGGAGCCCGGTCTGGCCGCGGCCCGGAACCGCGAGGACGCTGTTGGGAGGCCGCGTCCTGTGCAGCCCGAGCGGGGGAGGGGGCGGAGGCGAAGGCGAAGGCTGGGAGCCTGGGCTGCGCGTCGCCGCCAGCCGATCGATCCCCTGGGGCGGGAGCGCTGCAAGCTACGCCGAACACCTGGGGTGGGGGGTGGGGTTGTCCCTGAAGGACCGAGGAGCGAACGAAGAAGGTGGTCGGGGATCTTGTGGCGCTGGGTGGCAGCTAGCAGGGCCCAGCCTGCAGCCTGGCCTACACGTACC